TGAGATGAAATTCAACCTGCAGAGTTTATTAAAGAGTGCTCCTGGGAGCACCACCTGTGCAAGGGAAGGAGCGTGCAGTGCACTTTCAGGGAGGGCCTCAGCCAGTCTCACAGGAAATCCTGAAGCTTGATGGCCCTTCAGATTTGTCCTGAGATGGAACTAGGTGGCTGGACCTTTATATTCCCATGTAAGGTGTATGATCTTAGGCAAAGGTGCTCTCTGAAGCAGAGGCAGTTCCAGGGAAGGCAGAAGTCCTTTAGTCCTGAGGAGATCTGAGCAGGAATACTACATTACAGTATTCACTACTGTATCAGTCCCCTTGGGCTGCCGTGGCAAAACACCACAGACTGGGTAACTTAGCAACAGAAATTTGTTTCTCACAATTCTGGAGGCTGGAAGTCTGAGATCAGGGTGCCAAGCATGATCGGGTGAGGGCCCTCTTCCAGTGTGCAGACTTCTGTTCTCATGTCATCACAAGGTGGTAGGGGCCTGGGAGCTCTGTGGGATCTTGTTTATAACAGCATTAATCCCGTTCAAGAGGGTTCCACCCTCACGATCCAACCACCTCCTAAAGGCCCTACCTTCTAATACCATCATGTTGGGCATAAAGATTCCAACATGAGAATTTTGACAGAACACAAACATTCAAACCATGGCAACTGCAGTTCACTCCTCGTACCCTTAGATCCACCTCTTGGTATAAATTTGAGGAACAGCTCTTCCAGGGTTCTGGAGGAGGGGGCCTCTTCTCCAAGAGAAAAATTAAAGGGGAGGGATAGGAGACAAATTACAGCCCTTAAGTGCCACAGTAGGGCTTCTGTTAATCCTGTCTTCTTCCTCCACTCTTCTAGATTTGTGTCACCTTCAGGTAACACCACTACTGGTCTCCATGGCTTACCTAGTGGCACCACCCAGACCCTCGTGTGCAGGAGGTCTCAGCCCCTGGATTTTAGGCCCCTTTCAGACTGTGGCTGCTAAACCTGTCTATAGAACATCAACATTAGGCAAGAGACACCCAGCCAGACCACTTGGATACAAAATGTTTCTCCTTGCCCGCATTATGTAACAGCAATGATCAGGGTCAGTTACTTCTGCCAGCACAGTGCCTGCTCTTTGCATGCTGTCTCCTGGCCAAAGTGCCCAGGTAGCAACTGTAGCGAATGTTTCAGTGGATCCTGTGTCTCCTGGTGAAAAACATTCCCAGTTTTGGAAATCAAAACTGTTAGCCTGGGGAAGCCAGAATTGCAGGGACAAGAACAGTTTCTCCAGGTGGGTCACTGGGAGTGATGTAAGCAGGGCAACTCTGGCTTCCACTGTGTGTGGTCTACCTATTGAGAACCCAGCATCCTGGGGGACTGTGCCCCATCCTTATAAGTAAGGCATTGCCTATGACCTGGACACAAAGGGTATTTCTCTGCTCTGCCAGGCTGATAGTTTGAGTGATATGATATCTAATACAACTAGATTTCATGGTCGCATGCCCACTCCCAACCTCCTTTGTTGTAAAATGGCTCCTTTGCTTTGACACAGTGGGATATAGGACACTAGTACATCAGACACTATGAGCAAGAACAGCAAATCTATATCCAAATATGGGCCTATTCCTGACAAGACAAATGGCTGCTCTTTCTAGGATGAAAGGGGCCATTGCAGTGCAACTGCCAAGCAGTTGGTTGTTCTCCTTAGAGTGTATTTATTATGGTTGGCTTAGGCTGCCATAGCAAAATGACATAGACTGGGCGACTTAAGAGACATTTATTTTCTCACAGTTCTGGAGGCTGGAAGTTCGATCAGGGTGCCACCAAGATAGGGTTCCTTCGTCTTCCCCTCTCCTTTGCTTGAAGTCATTTTGATGTCTGAAACTTTGTGACATTTTTTTTCTCTTGAAAGCTTTTGGGTCTGTACCTGCATTACTCTGAAACGTCATGTGATGATCTTGAATAAGCATCCTTGGGCAAGTCTTTGCATCTGTATGAGTACTTCTGTAGACTAGACTATTAGAAGTGGAATCTACTAAAACTATGTACATTTTGAAATTTAGTAGACACTGCCAAATTTCTCTAAGATCGCAAACTTGCACTAACAGTGTATGAAATTGATTCCCTCTACTAAAACTTTGTCTAATCTTTCCCAGTCTCATGGATGAAGACAACTGACCATTCATTGCCACTTTAAAAATTGAGTTTTTACCCTTTTTTTCATTGAAATAGGATTTCATAGTGTATTAGTGATGTAACACTTCTGTCATTTGTTTTGCAATTTAAAATTAGGGAAGTTTGTGTGACTGCTGTTGGATAAGAATGCACTGTCAATTTTCCTGGTCTCACATACCATCTGATCATATAAAGGAAAGCAGTACTGAATGTGGGAAAATGGCAGTATTAGAATTTTTGTAACTTCCTTCCACTGCTTACAGACCCAGCACAGGCTCTTGAAAAATCAAGTTAAAGGAATTTCAATTGCTTTACCAACCACACATAGGGAAGGTAGTTTTATATACATAGAGCAGTGGTTAAGATCCTAGACTCTGGAGCAAACTGTCTGGATTGGAATCCCAAGTCAGCCTTACCAACTGTGACCTTGAGTGAGTGACATCTTTGTTTAATCATCTGTAAAATGGAGATTGAAAGGGTACTTACGTTACAGGGTTGTTATGAGGATTGAATTAATATTTGCAAAATATTTAGAATCTGACATGGGATGAGTGCTGTGTCTGTGATTAAATGTTGTCTTATCTGTATAAAAGTGATGATCAGTTTAATATAACATTCATTGATCTCTTCTATGCAGTGGAATTCAAACTCTGAAGATAATTAAAATACTTCTCTATAGGAGCTTATAGTGTTGAGCAAAGACAAGCAAATAATGACAAAATGTGATTAAGGGACATTCAGCCCAATTTAGGAGAGCTGGAGGAAGTGATACCTAGACTGAGTACTCAAGAACTAATGACAAAATACAATAAAAAAAGAACAAACAACCATCTAACCACTATGCTGGATACATGAAACTATAAAATACTCGTGTCACCTGTAATTGGGGTGGGGGCAGGGAAAGCATGGCAATAAATAAATAATACCTCCCCCTGCAAAAAAGAACCAGTGACCCTCAGAAATTAGAAAACTACTGGGGCAAGATGAAACTGAAAGGGTTATCTGGAACAGGATTATGAGCATACCATGCTCTGCAGTTTAGACAGGTAGGAAGGAGTCTTAAAGCGTAAATTGAATTTTTTAGACGTCATACACCTTTTTTTGCTAAGTGTCATAACAGTGCAATTATAATAAAAAATGTTTGCATTAGTATTTTTTCAAAGTTTTTTTTTAGAGAGGGGAAGGGAGAAAAGGGAGAAACATCAATGTGTGGTTGCCTCTTGCACACTGCTGTTACTGGGCACCTGGCCCACAACCCAGGCATGTGCCCTGACTAGGAATTGAACCCTTTATTTCCATCATTGCCCCCACTCTAGTCCTCTTCTGAACCTCTTCTGCAGTCAGCCCAACAGATTGTTTATCTTATGTTGTGCTATTATTCCTGCTTTTCCTTCTACCAGTCTAGAATATCCAATTCATTCTGAGTGTTCTAGCCTGGAAACTGGCAGACCTGTGTGTTTAAAAAGCAAAATTAAAAAACCCACAGCACCTCATTCCCACTTGACATTCAGTTATCTACTTTGTTCACACACTTGGCCCGGTGCCTCACTATAGCCAGCTGTCCTTCATTGCCCCATTTGCTGACCCACCCAGAAGTGGCTCATAAAATTTCAGGGAAGCTAAAAAATGACCCTGAGCTAGTCTGGCAGCCTTCTTACAGTGGCAGTACTGTTCTTTATAGCTTTCTTTGTGCTAACCGCTTTTTAAATATTATTCACTGTTCATTTTTAGTCATTGGGAAAATAATACTTTCTAAAATAATGTGTATTTTACGTAATGGTTTTTAAAAGTAATATACCTCAAACTGTTAACTGAGAATGGGTTTTATATTTTCACATATTTTTAAGATTTATTTACCTTCAGAGTAGAAGGACAAAAACATCAGTGTGGTTGCCTCTTGCACACCCCCAACCAGGGACCTGACCTGCAACCCAGGCATGTGCCCTGACTGGGAATCAAACTGGTGACCCTTTGCTTCACAGGCCAGTACTCAGTCCACTGAACCACACTAGCCAGGGCCATATTTTATCTTTTATAGTTCTGTAGTCTTTGGGAAATTACTGGGATGGGCAAAAGTAAATTTACAGTTCATATGGAAAGACACCCAATACAAGAATAAACTGTTTTGCATATTCACAACTGTAAACCTACTTTTGCCCACCTCTGTATATATTACTTTTTTTTTATAAATCCTCATCTTATTGATTTTTAAAGAGAAGGGAAGGGAGGACAAGAGACATGGATCAATTGCCTCTCATACACGTCCCGACCAGGGACAGAAGCCGAAGCCCAGGCATGGGCCCTGACTGGGAATCAGTGCACGGCCTTTTTTGTGGGATGATGCTCCAACAGAGTCACACCAGCCAGGGCAACATCATTTTTGTAATTAAAAACCAACAGAAACCCCAACAAACCCGAGTTCCCTATTTTAAACAAATAATAGAAAAAAGCCCCAATATTCTGGCATGGCTAACTCACTGCATGGATCAGCTAGGCATCCAATCTTAATGGTTATCTAAATGTGAATATAGAGTGATTATCACAGGGCAGTGTTTCTTAGTGCTTGCAAAAGGTACTTAAAAATTTTTTTTAGGTTAAGTATGTGCCTAGAATTTTATATCGCACATATGAAGAACAGTGAATAACTGCAATCTTATATTTACTCCATTGTGATGACTGTTCTTTGAAGGTGCAGAAGGATGGAAGCTGGGCTGAGGTTGTGGCCTCAGCTCTCCCTTCTACCCTGACCCCAAAGAGGCCAGACTTTAAGGTTGTTTCAGAGGAGCCTCTTCAATTTTCTTATCAAAAATAACAAACAAAACCCCAAACCTAATAATAGCATGTTAATAGTTTTAACACAGTGATTTCTTTTATTGCAAGCTGTTTATTGTAAGATAATTTACAAATATCTTGCTGTCTTTAGTAATTTAAACAATGGACCAACAGTTTCTTCTGACCAGGAAAGCAGTGAGCTAAAACCGAATCAGCTGACTGAATTTCTCTTCTTTACCTGAAAAAGAAGGTACAGAATAAAGATTAAGCAGTATTTTTGGAAAAAATAATGACATCAAGAGATAATACAGGGAGTGTTGCTTGTGTGTTACCATACAGCTGATGTATGTTTTTTGTCTCTATTAGTTTCATGCTATGTACATACTATAAGCAACCTATGGCCTATGAGGAACATGTAAGGTAATGTACTTAAAGCCATTGTTAGAAGTTTTTAGTGTTTTTTTATCTTGTTATATATATATGTTATACAACACTCAAATTTTTTTTTCTTGAGAAAAGGGTATAAAATGCAAAACCCACTCTTTTGATAACTGAAAACTGCGAACTGTTTTTGAGTACTTTATTTATATTGGGTGTCTTGTCTTAGGCTTTTTAGTTAGCTTATGAATGAAAAACTTTGGGGTTTTAGTTGGGATTTAGCATAGCTTGCATTTTAATTTTTTGGTTCTTTGTTTCTATTAACCCATGGCATTAGTTTAATAAGTGTTACAATAGCAACCTATAAAGAAATTTTGAAAAAGATGACTCATATTTAAGTAGGGGTTAAAGAACTGAGTTTATATAATAAAATGTTAACTCTACACTAGTGGCTCTCGAATTTTGGTCTGGGGACCCTTTCATGGGATCCATGAGGGGAAGACCACTTTCATAATAATATTATTTGCCTGTTTTAGTCTTATTCTTGAGAGTATCTGGCAGAGGTTTCAGAATGTGATATCCTAATGGCATGAATACATAAAAAGATGAGAATCTTACTGTTTTTTACATTTGAGAACCACCACTCTTCACCAATCTATATTTAATATCAAACTAATGCCAATTCTCTATACTTAAGGTTTACTTGAAAAAGCTCCCCAGCATTACCCACCTATGTACTCCCGTAAGTTGACTGCTACTGTAAACAGGCCTAGCTCTCTAAACCTCTCATGAGTGTCACTGCTGCTAAATTAGCTTCAGCTCTAATGGGGTGTATTTTCTGAAAGGGGTATAGGGAGAGGTATGAAATATTGCCACTTTACCTCTTGTCTGAGGACGAAACTCGATTTTCATTAATCCCTGGTTATTATATTAGAAGAAAGAGACAAACACAAACAAGCTGGTCAAAAGGCAATCCATGCTAGTTAATTCATGTACACTTTCCAACTAAAGTCTGTTTCCTCATTTGTTACCTTGAGGATATCACATACTTACCAAAATATTCCTTTAACATAGAGTCAATCAGTATATTTAAAAAAGTTACAGATCTCAATCTGGTTAGAAGCAACATAGCCACATTCATGCAAGTAGGCAAGACTAAAAGTATAATTGAAATCACTACTTTTCCTATAAATAGCATACAATATACTATAAGTTTTAGGCTGGCAACTAATATTTGACACCTCAAATATTGTGGTTTATTCATGCTTTTAATTTTATTACTAAAGACCAAATGTGTTTGTGTTAATCATTGAAGTCTTTAACCAGAATAAACTGATAGGTTAGAAAGCATGCAAGTCCATTCATAAAAGCAATCCAACCTTGGGGCTACAGAGCCCCCCCCTTTTTTTAAAGAAAGATTTTGTTTGAGAAAGAAGGGAAAGGAAGGAGAAAAAAACAGAAAGAAACATCTGTGTGAGAAACATAGATCGGATACCTCTGGTGCTTCTCCAACTGGGGACCTAGCCTGCAACCCAGGCATGTGCCCTGACCAGGAATCAAACCAAAGCAGGACACCCAACCAATGAGCCACACTGATCAGGGCCAGAGCTGACTTTTTATAAAGGATGTAGAAAGCCTTTCTAAAAGGTGACAATTTAATAGTCAATTTCCAATTATTGGAGTTCTTTTATTCTGTTTTGGAGTTCTTTTATGTCTTAAATCTCCCGCCCCTTATTTCCCTTGATTTGCTGCTTTGTAGTAAGGTTTCCCACATTTCTACTCTAGAAAGACCCTAGTCTGCAATTTGGCATAAGGTGTATCCTCACACTTCATTTCCAGCTTTCCTCTTTTAAAAAAGAGCAAAAAAAGAACTCTGGTTCTCTATCTTAGAGCTCTCTGAACCTTCAGAATGCAGTCTTTCCTCCAGACCTTCCCACCGTTGCTACCCAAGAAGAAATTGGCTTAGCACTGGCATTAGGACATATAACAAGGACAATGACTAATATAATTGTTTAATCCTTAGATTAGTCTCGTGTTCTAGATAACAAAGTTGAGTTGCACAGGTGTATCTTAACCAAATTTAACAAGACATTAAGTGGCAGGGCCACTCAATGCACAGTAGTCTATGATGCTACTAAAATACTAGTGACCAGGCTGAGTGATGGGTTAGCCCATCAAGGAAGGATCCTTGTGATAGCAAAGCTGATGGATACAACTAGTAACTTATAGAATGGTCTCACTAGGTCTAATTTTTGTCTCCCAGTTTCTATCCTTGAGAGACAATACTTAAAAACCAATTTAAATTTTCTTAGTGATGAACCTTCCTTAATTCTTAAATATGAACCCATGTTTTCACATAATCAATAAAATGTTATTTCTCCCTCTTCTGAACTTCCAGTTCTTAATATACTTATGGCATGTTTTTCACTCACTTAACCACCATTTCTTGAGGAAGTATGTGCAGGTGATGGGCCTACAAAAGTAAGTCCCTCCTAAGCTGCAGGAGCACAGAAAGGCAATTCCTAATAAAATGTTTAGTGCTAATAAAGGGAAGCACAGGATGCTGCAGAAGGGTATCCCACCCAAACTATGCAAGAGGGTTTTCTGGAGGAAAGCAATTCCCCCAGCTAAGTTAGGAAGGATAAACAGGAGTCAGTCCAATGAAGTACCAAGGGTGCAAGGGGAGAAAAGAATGGCATTTGAGGCAAAGACATGTGCCACCCTGAAGGTGAAAGAGTGTGATGTGTTTATAGAACTGGAAGTAGATCGATGTGGCTCAAGTTTTAGGGAAGTGAGAAATAGCAGTGGTAGGAGGCTAGACTATATGGTGTTGGTGGCCAGAAACCAAACATTCATATACGCATACATCAAGCGAAGCTGTTTCTGCAGGATAATATGAGAGAATGGGTTTCTATCATCTTCGTCATACCACTCTGTCACTGGGTCAGCAGTTTTTTTCTATGAATGGCTAGACATAAGTACTTTAGGCTTTGTGGGTCACATACTGTCTCTCCTTTTATAACCCTTTAAGAATATGAAAACCAGGCCCTGACTGGTAACTCAGTTGGTTACAGCATTCTCCAGATATGCCAAGGCTGCAGTTCGACATATGGTCAGGGCACATACAAGAAACAACGAATGAATACATAAATAAGTGGAACAACAGATCAATGTTTCTCCCTCAAATCAATAAAAAAAAAAAAGTAAAAGAAAACCATTCTTAGTTCTGTGCTCTCAGTTTGCTGACTTCCATTACACTGCAATTTCAAATATAATGTCTATCCTCCCTGTTAAGGCTGTGAGCTTTTTTGAGGGCAATTAATGTCACTACTACATCCTCAGTGCCTAGCACAGGGTCACACAATTACAACTCTCAAAATACATCTTTTTTAATTCTGGAGAGAAACAACAAGGATCTGCATTAAATGAGCACAAAGGGGAAAGTCATAGGCTATTTAGAAAGTAAAACTTAAGAGAACTTGGTGACCAGTTAGTAGGAGGGGACAAAGAATGAGTCAAAGACACCTTCTACACATTTGATCTTTCATCACAATTATCTGCACATTGTTTAATCCCATTAGACAATAAATATCCTGCAAGGATCACATCCTTTAACAATACTCTGCATATAGTGAGTGTGCAAATAATTTTTGGAATAGACATCTCATTATCTTAATCCTGGTTTCACAAACAATATTCTCTTGAGGAAAGTGGTACACTATCTTATGGTACTGGTATAAAAAAACTTAATAATTTAAAAAGACAGATTTTATAAATGATACTGAATTGTCCACGTGCCTATTCCTAATGCTTTAGGAATGTGAAAGCTAGCAATATATTGATTTCTAAAATAAGAAACTAAGCCTGAAACAATCACAATAAATCAGAGATTCCATTTTCACCAAATTTATATATCCTAACAGTAGGGATACAAGACTAAAATGGATCACTGCATCTTTAACAGACAAAACAAATCCAAAGACTTTTAAACATCCAAAGGTTAATAGCAGACAGACACGAGAACAAAAACTCTCTGAAGGCAATCTACAAGTACTTACAGAGCTGCAGCACCGGAGATGATTTCAATCAGCTCCTTTGTGATGACAGCTTGGCGGGTGCGGTTGAAGGTCAAAGTCAACTTGTCGATCATCTCAGCTACAAACAAAGCAAAGCAAAAATATTAGACAACATTTACAACTAACTAGAAAGGAATTTAGTCATAGATATATGTTGCTTAATGTAATAATAAGATTTGGGGGTGTTTTTGTTTTTTTGTGGGAGGGAGAGGAGTGGTGCCAAAGTTGTCCTCCAAAAATTTCAAGATGATATTTTTAAATATCTGGTGAGTACCTTTTCCAAGTTCTTGCAAATGTACTGCCTTCCAAGTAAGAGATACCTCCTTTAAGGCATACAGTATTACTTCTCTATCTTTTCAGATGAGAAAATTCAAGGTAAAAGATAGTATTAGGTCAAAAGTTTCATGGTACCAGCAGTAAAGCCTAGGACTAGGTCCTAGCTCTTTGCTTCTTGATCTACTTAAAGAATGGTCACGTTTTTGATGTGAGGGTCTTCATGCTACTCCCCGCAGCAGAATTTTCTCAGAAGTCTATTGTGTGCTTACAAGCGTTCTTGCTTGCATTGTCCATGGCTGTCATCCTGGCACTTTGCTCACTCGTGGTGGATTCCTTCAGAGAATAGTAAATGATGTTGGCCAGACTGTATTCCTGGTAATTCTGCAGTACATCAGCATCAATGTCGTCATAGATACTCATGCTCTCTGTTAAAACAAGTGGTAAATACCTCTGACTCAAATCAGTACAAAAACTGATTTAATCAAAATGACTTACTATTATAAAAATCCTCTATAATTACTGAGCAGAAAAAAGTGTAAGGTCAAAAGACTCAGTTCTAACAGTGTCATCTATTTCCACAATGTAGAATATGACAGATTTTCAGCAAAATATGTAAACAAAGCACTGGATATTTAAAATAACTACTACATTTCATGGTCAAGAAGTTGTCTAGATAACATCTATTTGAGTGCCTGGCACAAAGCCAGTTTTTTTCCTAATAAAGAAATTAAGAACGAAAACTAGTACAGTATAATACAAAAATCTCAATTCAGCCTTTTGATTACTGGAGAAATTAGAAAGTGTCAGGAAAATGAGAGCAGAAGAATGTTTCATTAGGGTAACATGGTGAAAACATTGCTGTTTCATCAAACTTAAGATACTACAGGTTATGATCCATATCTGATGTAACATTAAGAAAGAAAATAACACAGCCAATTAAAAATGATATGCTGTTGACTAGGAGAAGCTCCCAATTTCAATTTCAGAGATGTAAACAAGTGTACATCTTAGAATAGATGAAACATGATACACAAAAGGGGACTTGGGAAAATAAAATCATTTCCAGAACATTGTTTCTAGAATGCTTCACTGAGCAATAGTGACTCTATTCAAATGATAAAACAAAAACTTACTGGGCCAATGTATATAAATGCTGTGGACACTGTTCTAATCTCTATCCTAGAGCTTCAGATTACTTGGAGTTTAAGGTAGAGTTTGCATACAGAGACTGCAAAGCCAAAGTCTAGCTAGGCTCTCTAACCCAAGGACAGAAAACATATCTAATGAATGCCCTCAATAGATACTTACTAGTTGAATTAATGAAGAGAGTAAGAGTAACCAAACAATGCAGATTCACACATCATGGAAGCCATTAACAAATGTTGATAAAAGCAGCTCAACGTCATTTTGCTCCTGACAAACTATTTTCCTAAATGTACAAATCTCCCCTTTCTATATAGAAAAATACCTGTCATACAAAAACTACGTACCAGCACTTGCAATGGTATTAAGAGAAAAGATGGGCTTTTCTTCTGTTTTGTAGGAGATGACAGACCTAGAAATGACAACAAATGCAAATTTTAAAATAACTTTTAAACTGTTAACATTTACTTATTTTAAAATATGAACATAAACATAAAAAGCTTTGATTTCTAAAATTTTCTTGCCTGAATCGATTAAAGATGATCGACCCTTCATCAAATTCATACCCAGAATTTAGTAATTCCAGGGCAATGACTGATGCATCTCCAAAAGTAGGGGGTTTTCTTCCCACTTCTTTGAACGTCACCAGAAACTGGTCAGAATGAGTCCTATGAGAAATATGAGAGCACATAAAATAGTTCATCGGATTTTTTCCTCCTAAAAGAACATAGGAAAACAAGGAAGAAATCGCTATGGATCAAGTATTTTTTTGCTTGCGGCGAGGGTGTTTGTTGTTCACTGAATTAACCTGTTCCATACATTATCATGACTATTACTTTTTTTCAGCACCTGCACAGAACTAAGGACTAATAATCAGGCCTTTCTTATTTTATATTTCTCTATGCCTTTATTTTTCTTCTTCCAGGCCTAATTAACTGTTGTTCATTCTGACATTTCTAGACTGTGATAGCTCCTCAAAGTTCATTCCTCATTTTTAAAAATGTCAATAGCTTTTGATATTAACATTGCATTCCATTTATGGCTTGGCTGAAGAAGCAAAACACAAGTAGAAAATGGGAGAAATCTATATATTCTAGTATATACTGGTAAAATAAAAACAAAACAAAAAGGGTATAACCCACCCTTTTACCCATGATATATATTTAAATTACCTATGAAGTATACCCCTGATTTTATCTCCAATTCCAACAATTTTCACTTCCTTCCCAGCTGCTGTGAGCGTGGCCACCTCGCTCTTCATCTGTTTAGCCACGGAGGAGTGGATGGCCCCACAGAGCCCTCTGTCTGAGGACACGCCGATAAGGAGGTGTTTCTTCTTTTCTTCAGGCCCCTTGATATCAGCCTTTTCATACAGAGCTTAAAAACAAACAAAAAGCAAAGCAAGAATTTTTATGTAATTCATACTAAATACAGCAATCCCTAATTTACAAAAAAGCTGGCTGTTTTCAAAATGATGCATTTAAATTTAGGTGCCATTTGACTAATATAATCAAAACTCCCCATGCACTTATTCCATTAAAAATTAAAATTAAAACCAAAAAGGTTTAAATCTATATATAACAAAGGTTCCTAAGGGCTCAATAATGGCGACTTTATCTTAAATACTGATTAAAATATACCCCTGGTACCATTAAAGAACTCTTTTTAAAAAATATATTATTTATTTATTTATTTTTAGCGAGAGGGGACGGGAAGGAGAAAGAGAGGGAGAGAAACATCAATGTGTGGTTGCCTCTCATGTGTCCCTCACTGGGTACCTGCCCTGCAACCCAGGCAAGTGCCCTGACTGGGAATTGAACTGGCAACCCTTTGTTTCACAGGCCCACACTCAATCCAATGAGCTACACCAGCCAGGGCCCATTAAAGAACTTTTAATGAAGCCAGAATTATAGAGGTGTAACAACTTATTTACTATCAGACTTCTAAATAATGTAAATCCTCAGTATACAACATGTCTGAAAAAAACTAGGAAGCAAATCTTTGCTGACCTGCTTTCTACCTGCATATCAAGCTCTTATAAAAATCAGTAATATCCTTAGGTGAAGATAAAATAAAAAACTGGTGATGTTAAAATAATGATGCCAATTTCATTTTGGGGGTTACTTTAACAACCTCACTTTGTTGGTCTAGTTTCCCAAGAAGCAAAGGCCAAGAGAAGATTCAGTAGGACAAAATATACACGGACTTTACTAGGAGATATGCCTGTGAGAAAACAGGAAGTCAGAGCCATCATACCATGATGCAGGTCTAAGCCGTGGAAAGGAAGGTTAAGGGGCAGCTTCCCAGATCACTGTACGAGTTGAGGGAAGTCAGTAAAGCTGCCAGGAACCCCAGGTCTCCCAAGAACACGCCTGCCTGTATCAGCCTGTGCTCAGGCGCAGGCCAGGAGCAGGCCACTGAAAGCATGGCATGGAAGCAAATGCCGGATGGACTTCAGCAGCTAGTGCTCACTATAGTTGCAAGGTACATCTTCATGGCCGCCACTTTCACCCGTTTCAACAAATCCCTACCACTACCTATTTCAGTATAGAGCAGTGGTTTTCAAAGTTCAATACCTGAGACACTCAATAAAAAGCAGAGAGATGCTCAACGCCAAAGTTGAGTAGAGTTTAAGTTTCTTCTTGTATTTTACATTACTGTAAAGTATAAAATACCTACTTTACATTTTTTAAATATTTATTTTTTAGAGAGGGTAGGATAAAGTGAGGGAGAGAAACATCAAAGTCTGGTTGCCTCTCACATGCCCTCTACTGGGGATCTGGGCCCACAAACCCAGGCACGTGCCCTGATTGGGAATTGAACTGGCAACCCTCTGATTCGTAGGCCAGCACTCAACCACTGAGCCACACCGGCTAGGGCAACATTTAAAAATATTTAAATTGATTAGCCACTTAATATTTACCAGTTAGTATATTTTTAGTTTGAAGGACCGTAGAAGTGGATTGGCAACCTCGAGCTGGAGTTTTGGTTTTTCTCCACAAATACTATAATCAGGTATCTACGCCAGTTTCTTCTTTACTAGATAATTTTGTGGTCATAGACTTTTGAAGGGTAACAAATTTTTATTATACTTGTTAATACCACCATGTAAAATGACTTTCTTTTTTCATATAAGTAACTAGAAAGTAATTTACCAATGAACATCTGCTGAGCCTGGAACCAGATGCTCAGTATTGTGTTAGGCAAGGAAGGAGACATGAACTCAAATAGCTGCAGCTGATAAGAATTCCTAAAACCTAACCTAGCAACTCTCCTCTAGGTGAAACTATGTTGTTTTAAAGCAAAGAGCCATTTCCACTGAGGCCTAGTGCTCTTATCACTTCCACGAGAAAATTTTCTTTAGCAGTATAAATGTACGTTTAAAAAATATGGAAGAACGCAAGATAACTACTGCACAGACCAATTTACATTTAATACACAGATAAATTAATATACAGACATTTTCTTTAATTTGGAAATAAGCAAGTTTCACTTTCTTTATAGTTGACATTTAAACACTGCACTCACATATCTATTCATAGCCTATGTCCATGATTACTTGGTCAGCTCTCCACTGCAGCACACCACCTCCTCCCCACCACATGGTTCTAAAGTACCACATCAGAATAGGATGAAATCAAGCACTGGAGGTGGATGCACTATGTTGCTAAATTCTTTTCATGGTACATTGAACAACACAGAAAACTTTTCAGAGTACTTAAAAAGTTAACATAATAGGTATCTGATCTCAGGCAAGCTACCCGATGTCACTGAGCTTTAGTTTTTTTCATCTGCAGAGCAGAGGCTGAATCAGTTCCTACCCTCAAAGGGTTACTGTGAAAAGTGAGTACATGTAGCTCTGGCTGGGGTGGCTCAGTGGACTGAGTGCCGGCCTGTCAACAGAAAGGTCTCCAGTTTGATCCTCAGTCAGCATATGCCTGTGTTGCAATCCAGGTCCCCAGTTGGAGGTGTACAAGAAGCAACCAATGGATGTATCTCTCACACACTAATGTTTCTCTCCCTCCTCCCTCCCTTCCCCTCTAAAAATAAAAATTAAAAAAAGAAAAAGAAAATGAGCACATGTAAAATACTCAGAACAGGCCCACCATCACGGTAAGCACTAAATAGAAGTCATTAGTAATGATCTTCTTTATGGTATATAGTTCTTTCTAATTACACTCTTCTCTTACCCAAAGATCCTGTTCCATACACTCGAGCTGGTTTCAGCTCCCTTTCAGCTCGGGCATATTTTGCTGCTGCTACCATTTTCATAGACTTGGTAATTTTCTGGATGTTTTTGATTGACTTCAGTCGCCTGGTAACTGAAAAACGGAAGTGCTATGTTATGATAAAAGAGTTATAATTTCATTTGTGAATATACTGAAATGCAATATTTTTCTAAACTGCAAGGTAGAATAATTAGCATTTAGAACACCAATTAACAGCATGATGCTAAACTAGGCTTAATGTTACAATGAGTATAATAAAAGGTCAAACTCAGCTGACAACACAAGAGAATGGTAAATCATACATTAAAATATGAAATGGTATCGAAAATGGCCTTCAACCATATATTCCATTACAATTCTTATATACCTACAAATAGTTTTTCTTAATTAAAACATTATCATTCTACAGACAATAAATCAGAACCACCGTGTTCACCTCTCGCTGGTCTCTTCTAAAACAAGTTCAATGCCCCATATGATGTACATTTATTTTACTGGTTTTGACCAAATATATAATGGGCTTTAAAAAGCAGCATAATTTTGAAAGTATTATTTGTCAAAATTTAGTTTTTCTTTCTTTCTTTTTTAAAGATTTTATTTATTTACCTTTAAAGGGGAAGGGAAGGAGAGAGGGAGAGAAATAACAATGTATGGTCCCCTGCTGGGAACTGGCCTGCAACCCAGGCATGTGCCCTGCCTGGGGATCTAACTGCGATCCTTTGGTTCACAGGCCCGTGCTCAATCCACTGAGCTACACCAGCCAGGGCAAAAATTTAGTTTTTATTAATTCACATATTGAGACAAAGTACTTACTATCTTTCAAAGTTGCCATATTTCGAACTTGGATCCTGAGAATAAAGGTTATAAAAGTATTTTAGTTTTTTAAAAGATAGCTCAATTATATAACTTTAAAAACTCTTAAAGTTACCATGTTTAAAGAATACCCCATATGAACTATTCAAATATAGGACTCTGATGTATATATATATATTAATTTTAAATTCCTTAATACTGATACCAAACCCTGTATCAAAGGCCTCATTTTATTTGACCTGACACAAACTTTTTCGCGGAAGTCACAATGGCATTCACATATGCTCTATTCCCACCTCCATGTCTTTGCCCATATTCTTTTCCCAACAGAAAAGTTATTTGCCCTGTTAGGCTACTCAACTCTCAAGGTCAGCCACCTCTAAAAAAATGCATTCCTTGATTTTCTTGGTTCACCAAAATCTTTTAAAATAAAACTTATATGTTATAACACAACAAAATGTGTGAAAGTACCATTTATTTCAACCAATTCTTAGCTTCTCCAATGGAATTCAATAAACATTTACTAAGTACTAACTATTCTTCATTTGTGAATAGATCAGGACATGGTCTCTGATCACAAGCAGCAGACTATTATAAATGAGATTCACGAAAACTTAGATTTACATAAAATTTATATTAGATTTTTCTACAGTCTTTAAAGTATAACATATAAGACTTAAAATGTAATGTTACTGACAGATAAGTATGAGAGGATTCCTGCCCTATGGGGGAAGACAACATGTTATCCCATATAAATTATCTTCCAGCCCTTAAATCCATACAAAATACCAGTGTTGGCCCAGTAAGGTCCACAGAAGAATCAGGAAACGAATGTTTATAAGCCCACAAATCAATTTAGTTTTCCAGTATATCTTGGATGGCAGTGAAAAGCACAAAATAACTTTGGAATACTGATGACATGGAGACTAAACAGGGGCTGCTGTGGCTTCCAGACAAAAGAAACAAGGAGCTGGACCAAGATGTCAGCAAAGCCAACAAGAGACTAAGTGTGAGATCAAGTTCTTAAGAATGAAAAGGAAAACAGTAAGAATGACCCAAAATTTTCTGACTGAATGACCTGGGTGGACAGTGTTGTTATTAACCAAGGTAGATACACTGGGTGCAGGTGATCTTCCTGGGAACAATGATTTTGTATATGATACAGTTAAAAAGACCGTGGGACCAGGTGGAAATGTCCAATGGGTGTGAGAAACATGTGAGGTTTTGAGATTTGAGATACATGTTTGTAACTATCAGTAAACATAGTAGTTGATGCCTTCCCCCAAAAAGAAAGAAGTGGAAATAGGATTAGAAGCAGAGGGACATTCCTAATTCTATGAGGTTAGCATTATCCTAATACCAAAACCACATAAACACAAGAAATAACAATTAGAAAATAACACCTCCCATCAACAGAGGCAAAAATCCTCAATAAAATATTAGCAAATTGAATCCAACAATATATTAAAATGAATTATACACCATGACTAAGTGGGGTTTATTCCAGGTATGCAAAGTTCGTTCATCATTTAACAATCAAGCGTGGTAATATCCATCACATCAACAGGTTTTAAAAAATCCTATGATCAAGAAATGCAGAAAAAGCATGTGACATAATGTAATACCCTTTCATGATAAACACCTCTTAACAAATTAAGAAGAAAATTTCCTTAACCCAATAAATAACATTTACAAAAAACTCTATGGTTTAACGGTGACGGTGATAAACTAGAAATCTTCTCCCTAAGATTGGGAACAAGATAAGGATGTTCTCTCCCACCCCTCCTATTCAACATCATACTGGATATCCTAGTAAATGCAGTAAGACAAGAAAAGGAAGTAAAAGGACACAGACTGGGAGGGAAGAAAAAAACTGTCTTTGTTCATAGGTGATATTGCCTAGGTAAAACATCACAAAGAATTGGCAAAAAACAAAACAAAACAAAAAAAAACAACCCTCCTAGAACTAATAATCTATCATAGTAAGGTATATACAAAATTTAATCACTTCTTTTTATATCAGCTGTGAACAACTGGAGTTTCAAGTTAAAAAAACAACATAGATTGTATACTTAAAAATGGCTGAGATAAATTTTACGTATACTTTACAATTAAAAAAACACAAAGACGTATATAAACCTAACAAAATATATGTAAGATCTATGTGAGGAAAACTGCAAAACTAATAAATGAAAAATCTAACTAACTAGTGAGAAATTCCATATTCATAAATAGAAAGACTCAATGTTGCTAACAGGCCAATTCTTCCCAACTTGATCTATAGTTTAATACAATTCCAATCAAAACCTCAGCAAGTTACTTTTTGACTATCAATAAACTAATATTGATGTCTATATGAAAAGGCAGAACACCCAGAATGACCAACACAATAGTGAAGAACAAAGCCCGAGAACTGACACTACTTGATTTCAAGACTTCCTATAAAATTACAAAAAACAAGGCACTAAGCAGATGAATGGAACAGAACAGAAAGCCCAGAACCAGACTCACACAAATACATCAACATAAGTTTGATAAAATAGAAGTTATTATGTGGAGAAAGGATTACTCTTTTCTATAAATGGTGCTGGACCACTGGACATTCATATGTAAAAAAGTAGTAATCTAGACAATATTCTACACATTTTACAAAAATTAACTCAAAAGGGATCACAGATCTAAATATAAAACACAAAACTATAATCTTCTATGAGATACGACAAGAGAAAATCTAGGTGCTCTGTGTTTGGCAAAGTTTTTAGGTAAAACACCAAAAGCATGATCCATGAAAGAAAAAAAATTGATAAGCTGGACTTTATTAAATCTAACAACTTCTCCTCAAAACGCTGTTAAGAGAATGAAAAGACAAGCTACACACTGGAAGAAAATATTTGCAAAACATGTATCTGATAAAGGACTGTTACCCAACATATACATTTTAAACAACTTTTAAAATTCAACAATATGACCCAAATTTAAAAAATGGGCAAAAGACTGGAACAGAAACCTCACCAAAGATATACAGGAGGCAAATAAGCATATAAAAAGATGTTCAGTATCCTGTGTCATTAGGGAATTACAAATTGAAACAATGAAATATAAGTACAAACCTGTAAGAGTGGCTAAAATTTAAAAAACAGACAATACCCATTGATGATGAGGATATGGAGCAAAAGGAATTCTCATTCCCGGTGGGAATGAAAAAATGGTGTGGCTACTTTGGAAGATGGTTTGGCAGTTTCCTATATATCTTAAACATAGTTTAACTTATGATCCAGCAGTCATGCTCCTCAGTATCTAACCTGTGTTGCTGAAAACTTCTCATTTGTCTACACAAAAATCAGCACATGAAGCTTGGAGCAGCTTTACTCATGCTCATCAAAAATCAGAGGCAACCAAGGAGCCCTTCAATGCGAATGAATGGATAAGCAAACTGGTAAATCCATACAACGGAGTATTATTCAGAAATAAAAATAAGCTATCAAGCCACAAAAAGACAGGACGGAACCTTAACTGCCTATTGCTCAGTGAAAGAAGCCAATCTTTAAAGGCTCTATATACTGACTCTAATTATATGACATTCCTGAAAGAACTATAGCAACAGTGAAAAGGTCAGTGGTGGCCTGGATTTGGGAGATACATTTTCTAGGGTGCAGAAATATTCTATATGATACTATAGTGGTTGGTACATATCATTATGCATCTATCAAAACCCACAGAACTATACAATAGGAGTGACCTTAAACTCTGCACCTTGGTTTACAATGTATTAATACTGATTCATTAATTATTGTACATATACCACAGTAATGCAAGATGTTAATAGTTGGGGATACTGTTTGAAGTGGGGTGTGGATATATAGAACTCTATACTATATGCTCAATTTCTCTTTAAGTCTGACTGTACTAAAAATAAAGTCTGTTAATAATAACTTTAAAATGCAGGTTATGAAATGGTATGTTACATGATCCCATTGTTGTGATTGTGTTTATGTGCATAAAATTAAGTCTGAAAGGTCACAACCAAAACAGCCATCTTTAAAAATCTCGACTTACCTTACTACTGGTATTATATTGTTAAAGAAAAATATGGAAATAAGAGGAAGGAGACTTTGTGGAAAATATTGGTTTGGTTAGAATGGATTTACTAAATACTAAAACTGTTAAATGCTGACAAGCACTACTATTGAGTACAGACTTATAGGACTTAATGACCATTCCATTAACAAATGGCACTTGAAAACTGACCCCCTTTTTGGTATAAGGACTTTTTCACTCCAAACATTCTAAATTTACAGATTATAAAAAGTGTCATTTGGACATTATAGTTGTAGGCAGACACTCCACCTTAACTGACACAAGTTTCTAGTCAGAGAATAAGATGTGGAACAAATCTGAACTGCATGCCATATTTGGATGAACACAATGTTTTTGGTTTCCATAGTATCCCAAATGAGGTATGAAAACGTAGGATCTTTTGATTCTTTATGCTTTGCTCATGGCCTAATTTTCTATTTTGAAGCACTCTCATGTTTAGCGTCCGTTTGCTTCTAAAAATGATGTCAATGTATGTTACAATTTTATTTTTTAAGTACTATTTCAGTACAGAATAATCACGAGCTGCTCTGAAATCTCTAGCTTGCCCTGTCTACTGAATATAGAGTATTTACAAACCAAAACTTCTGAATCAGTTTTATGTTCTGGAAAATTGCATCCTGTCTTGATACTCATTTAGGAGATTGAGAAACTAGAAACGTGGATGGGAAAATCAGATTGTGGATTACTATTATCTGCTGACTGTAAAACATTGTTAGGAAAGCTGCAGAAGGCAGTGTGGAGGAAGTGAGCAAGGTTGCTGGATGAATGATTTATCAAAGAATTGTAAGGAGCATACAAATACTGTATAATATAAAAATTAAGGAAGCAGCATTCACTAATTCTTAAGGAATATTATGAAGTATGTCTAATTCTAATATTGAATGCCTGCATGAAATCCATCACCTGCCCCTCAACCAAAAAAAATGACTCCCTCGCACTTCACCAACCATTGCCCATGATCGAGTCTTCTTTCATGAGTACAATAAGCTTTCTAACATATTTTAGATACTGTAGTAATAAATTCATTTTCATTTTTTAATCGATAACACCTGGATCCACACCAGCATGTCTCCCACTGCTCTTGGTTCTTTATAAATACTGACTCATTTAATCCTCACACTAACCTATTAATTGTGTAGTAATCATCACCTCCATTTAATGGACAAGGAAATGATATAGAGACATAGACATTAACTTGTCCAAGGTCACACAGCCAGGTGAGAGGCAGTCAGGATACAAACCACAGCAGTTTGACTCCAGTCCATCTTATACTATACTCTGCTGCCTCACATTTTTTATTTACAAGTAAATATCTGCTCTTACTCTCAAATGACAGTCTTCCATTTCTCTCCTGAAATGCCACCTCTCTCTTTTCAGTGTACCTAGTTCAATTTATGGCCACTGGTCTTCTATCACTAAATGTTCCATTTTAGAGAATGTGTAAACAGTAGGAAATAGAGATGTGTTTTCCCCTAATTTAAGACAGAAAAAGGGGACTCTTTTCCTCAAATTTCTCATTTCCATTTTCTTGATTGCTACTTTAAAAAAGTTAATTTCTGAAAGCTTAAGGTACTTTCTGATCCCTTAAACAATTAAAATAATTTAATCAGGACTTTATTTAGCTTCATGCGTAATGTGGTTAGCATGGAAACCTCCTTGAAGCAAAAACTGTAACAAGCACCCAACTGCACATTTAAAAGCACCAAAAAAAACTATAGCAAGCACCCAACTGCACATTTAAAAGCTTCCAATAACCAAAATCAAAGGAATGCCCCTTCATGGTTGTTCAAGCCAAGGTATTTTTGTACCCTTCCGAATTAATTCTGTGGAATGTTAAACAATAAGACAGCTTTAATTTCTGAATTTAAAGGTCAATTATAATGAATGGGAAGAGAAAGGGTAAAACAGACGGGGAAGACATCAGGCCTCAAGAGTGACAGAAAACACAGAGGACAGAACATGCTTTCCACAGGGGAATACTAATGTTTGATGAATATTTATAATCTACCAATTTAAAGCCAATATTCCAAAGGGATTAAGGTCAGGACTATGACCCTCATTTGATGACTGACATTCCAATTTGGGCCTGTGGCATTACTGTCTCAGACTTTTAAGGAGCTCTTATTTAAAACAATTCTTTATTAAAAGATCTTCAAATTGTCTTACAGGGTTTTTAAAAAGTTATTTCTACAGTGTTATGCAAAATATGTTGTCCTTATTGAGTAACTCTTCCCATTTCTAAAAGATCAACCTGGATGCCACTTAAGGTTTTAAATATACTGACAGGTAACATTAATACACAGTAAGATGGGGAAGGAAGGAGGGTTAATGTTTGCTGAGCACCACCGCATGCCAGGAACTGTTCTGCAAGGCTAACTCACTAAGACCATGTCTATTTGTTTAGTTTATCACATTTTAGCAACTTAATGCAGACCAGGAACCTAACAAAAGTGTGCCAAGTGATTTGTAAATGGCACAACTGAGAACTCAACAAAGGTAACTTCCTAATTCTCATGAATATTCTTTTGCAGTATTAGGAAAAACTGACTCCCAAGGCAAATCCACCAACATTTTTATGTAGGCATTTCACATTACACTAAGTTACTTTCTTACCCTAAAAATCTTGTCTGTTGTTTTAAATTGCTTGCTTAATGAAAAACATACCTATTTCAATTAATGCTGTATACTCCTTTCACATAAACTAGGATACAAAAATCTACTTTAGTGTTATAGCTCCTTAGAATTCTCCCTTACTGTAAACCCAGGGAATTGCTACACCTAGGCTATAACTAATAATCTCCTTAGTACTGTGTCTGAAATGGTCCCAGACTTTGCCTAACATCAAGATATTTCATCCTACTATATGGTCCCACGAGGCATCCTTTATCTGACTATTCCTCCTAGGCTTTCTAGTATGCAACTTTTTTTCGGGAACCAGTGCTTAAAATTGTTAAAAATTGCACGGCAGTTAGGTACTTAAATCCACCTCCTCGTCCTCTTAGAACCTTGGGACAATTTTATGACCTTGCAGGGTTACGGCTTCAGCATAATGGTTTCAGGATAGTGCAGAGTGTCTTTCTCTTCCTCGCCAACATATTTTCAAGGTCCCTTTTGCACCCAAATTACCCTCGGCCCACGAGGGCACTTACTTGATTCACCAGGGCCCAACAAAGCCCCTACTACGTGGTAGATACTTAATAAATGTTCTGGCTGAATCAAACAGCTTTCAAAGTGTTAACTCTGCTCTACTCTGGCCCATGCAAACCTTGCCAAACACTGGGTAGTTTCAAAAGGCGTCAAGGACTTAAAGCACAACTTAACCTTCCCCTAGACCTAGTCTTCGGTTCTCTCCACCCCACTTTATGGGCCCAGGAAAAGACTGCACCATACTCATTGCCTGGTGCAGAAGAGGAGCTCCACACTTGTCAGTTGAATGAATACAAGACAGCCCTGAAATTAATTCGGACTAAAATTTCAATCCCGAGGTCCACGATGACAACCCCTCGTGGCCCTCATCCCGCCTCAGGAGAAGTGGCGTGACCTTGTGGTCTCTCGAGCCTTTCGCGTGAGCTTTCAGAATAGGACGCGCCTCCCGAGGCCCCGGCCTCAACAGGGGCCTGGCTCGTCCTGCGACCCTTGTTACGTCCCACTCGCCTCCACCCGCTTCCTCTTCCCTCCAATCCGGCTCTTCCATCCCTTGCAACCCTTCCGTTCCTACCGCAAGCTGCCATACCATTGTGGCTGCACCGCCCAGGCCGAGACCCCCACGACGCTCGCCCGAGAAAACATGGTGGCAAGTGGCCCCGCTGAAGGTCGGTCAGACTGGCCTCAGTGCGCATGTGCGACAGCTTCTCCACGCCCATTCCCCTCCCGCTTTCTTTTTTAGCCTCTCTTCCTGACGCGAACGGCCGTAAACATCGCGAGCGTTGGGGGCCCAGCCTACCGAGGCCCCACCTTTTTCCGGCTCTTAGCTGGTATTTGTTCCGCCCACAGGTCAGTCCAGTTCCGTTTCCGGCTGGCGGTAAGGTGGGTCTAGAAGTGGTAGCTCTCCGGTGGTCGCGATGGGAAAGTCAGATTTTCTTACTCCTAAGGCCATCGCCAACAGGATCAAATCCAAGGGGCTTCAGAAGCTGCGCTGGTATTGCCAGATGTGCCAGAAGCAGTGCCGGGACGAGGTAAGCTAGCCTGGGATAGCCCGAAACCCAGTCCTCTTCCTTGGCTGGGTCCGTTTGGAAATCCGGGCTCAAGTCCCTGATGCTGAGCGTGAAGGCGTGGGTCTCAGGTCCATAGTCATGGGTCTGTAATGGGCGAGTCAACTAGTTAACACAGTAGGGACATCCTTTCCTGCAGCCCCCGTCCTAGCGGGAAATCATTGGTCTTTGACGCCGCTTTTCTCCCAATTGGTCCCCCAAAGAAATGGGAAATAAAAGCTTTTGCAGCTCGAAATGATTCCAGTCAAGGTGTCGGAAAACGGAGGCTTGAATAATTAAATGCCAGGCTCCTGGACAATCACCTTTGACGACGTGTCTCAAAGATATGATTAGGATTCACGCCTTATTTCAGGATCAGATGAAAAAGAAGAAATAAGTTCTTGCACGCCACTCATTTAACAATTTATGGAGCAGCTACAATGGGCTAGAGCCAGGATATTATTGTGGTTAAGATGTGGACTCGCGTCAGACTGAGAATTATGAAGCGTAACCACACCACTTGTTGCGGCTGTGTGGTCTTGGGTTAGTTACAGTCTCTGTTTACTTATCCGTAAAGTAGGAACGATAACTATACCTACTTGTAAGATTGTTGTGAATTTTAAATGAATGGAATATGTGTAAAGACCTCAGGAGGTTTTTGGATAGTTTTTGAAAAGTTTTATGTGCCCTGTTGGAGTTGACACTTTTTGCATTAATGAGGTGAATGATGAATTGCCTTGAAGAATTGAGAGCAGGTTAGTGATGTGGTATTTTTCTCTGGATATTGAATTGGATAAGGATGGAAGGACGTTGGGCAGTAGGAATAATCTAATCCATTGTTTGTGCACATGAGATAGATATTTTAGGTGGGACTCAACATTGAATAACATTGATACTGTTACTCGTTTTTGTTTCTCTTTAGTTCTTGCTGTTTAAGTCCAGGTGGAAATCTCACACAGAAAACTAGAGACTAGTACATTGAACATCCATATATTCCATTATCCCATTATGAATAAATCCATTACCCAGATTTAACATTTCAGTATTTTGTCATATTTACTGGCTTCTTAAATATTTTAAAGTAAATCCCAAACTTTGGGATATTTCACCTTTTAATACTTAAATATGCATTTTTAAAATATCAGGATATTTTTCAGTGGAGCCAAAAGATGCCATCACACATAACAAAATTGATAAAAATTTCTTTATTTCATCTGATACACATACCATACTCACATTTCCTTAGTTCTGCCAAATGCTTTTTTAGACAATTTAAAAAAAAAGATACAATCAAAATCTATGAATTGGATTTGGTTATTAGGGCTTTTTAAAAAGTAAACTTTATTTTTTAAAGTTTTATAATGGCATGTCATTATCACCAAAATCCATAGTTTACATTAGGGTTCACTCTTGGTTTTGGGCAGTTGGTGAATTTGGGCAAATGTATAATGATATGTATCCATCATTGTAGTATTGTGCAGAGTAGTTTCACTGGCCTAAAAGTCTCTGTTCTCCACATTATTAGGACTTTTAATTGTTTCTAAATTGTAAATTTACAATAGGACCCACTTCCTCCTCCCTTCCCTTCCACTCCCCAACTTTTTTCCTTGCCAGGAACTTGGAGACCAGGTCAGACTGTTATCAGAGCATTCCTACTCTCTGGATATGTTAAATTGTTTTCTTGTCATTGTCTTTTGCCTTCTTTCTATAATTTGTGTAGTTTTTGATTTCTAAAGACTTTACTAAGTTCAGGTTAAATATTTTGGGGACGAATACTTTATAGGTGATTCAGTGTATTTCATATTGCATAAAGTAAGGAAGCCCATGTCATTAAGTAAAGAGAATAATGTTAGAAAGTAATATTTTCTATCTTGCAAGTGCAAGTAACTAGTAGGATGATATTTTGGAATCATGACCATATATATATCTAGTTTTCCATCACCTTTCATCTGTGTGCTTTAGCATCCTCACCTGAGTTACTTATTTCCTTAGGAGTTGCAGACTGGTTTCTTTTCTAATTCTTTCTACAATAGATCGTTTGCAAAAGTGAGCTTTTTCTCATCACTCAAATGTTATCCTCAAATACAGTTCCAATAGGAAAAGGGAGATAAATACTTAATTCTTTCCTTTAAGGCATTTGTGGTGGTTCTGGCCTGTTTGCTTCCAGATCTGTTTATTTCCCTTCCCTACGTGAGAGGACAGCCTAGGGGAGAAGTTGACCCTGTGAATTTCTGCCTCTGTTTTCTGTCTCAGCATTGGAAGATTGAAGGGGAGGAATGTCAGGTCCAGAGTATTCTACTCCTGCTCATCCACTCCCTTGTATTTCTAGGGTTTAATAACATTATTTTGTTTTCATTTTATTGATTATTTTTAATTTGTGGAAAATGGGACTGGTTTTTCACTTATGAAACCAATACCAAGTTTCTTTTTAAGATACATTTAAGTAAGAGTAATGCATGGGTAGCACACAGATGAGCAAGACTTGTATAGGTGGTCTTTAGATGACCAAAGATAAGGAAACTACCCTAATCAAGACAGATGAAATCAAGATAGTAGCCATGGTATTGAGCAGAGAGACTGGATAAGAGTTACTGATTTAGAAAGCTGAGTAGGCTCAGTAATAAATGGAGTGCAGGATGAAGGAGAAAGACACCAGGATGCCAGCCTTGATCTTGCCTTGGGTGATTGGGTGTGTGGTATAGTGCTAGTCACTGAGATGGGTACAGAAGGAGAGGCACATTTTTTCATTTCTATTACTAGTGAAGAATCAGATTCAAATGCTAAGTTGAACAGATACAAAGTCAAAAGGTGGGTTTATGTATTATGTAACAATGTATTTTGGATAATAGCTAAAGTAGAGGAAAGTGAGTGGAAAATAGTATCCTTAATGGAAATTACTGAAGTACTTGTATAACACTGTGTGAAGTAGGTGCTCAACAGAAGTTTGTTGAGTCAAAAAAAAACCCCAAATCTTGAAATCACTCTTATGTTACTGTGCATAATAGCATTTCTTACTAATGTCTGTTTCGTAAAGCACTATGTTTCTGTCTCTTTAATACCTAAGTTATTCTTTGATTAGCACGGTTGCAAAACTCAACTTCATAAAGAATTAGAAATAAAAATAGGGTGCTTATGGCTAGCGATTTTATTAATTTTTACAGTTTGCCATCAAAGAACATCTTTTTTTAGAGTTTATTTAAATATTTCTCTTTAGGCCTCATTATGACCTAAATCAGAATTTAACTTACTCTTCTTTACATTTCTTTGTAGAATGGCTTTAAGTGTCATTGTATGTCCGAATCTCATCAGAGGCAACTATTGCTGGCTTCAGAAAATCCTCAGCAGTTTATGGATTATTTTTCAGAGTAAGTAACTAAAAGACATTCTTATGTCATAAGCTTTACTCAGTCAGACATTTAATAGATGCTTAATATTTTATATATTGGAGGCTCTGTTTATTCTTAACATACTAACATAACTATGTGGTCTTCGTACCCAGTTTCTGTCTTCCTTGGACAATTTATTATAATATGAAATTGTTTTAAAAATGGTTCTCATGATTCAGTTTTTCTTTTCTTTCACTTCAAACAAATGAAACTATCTTCTCTTCTAAAATAAGTGTGGCTAAGACCACAGCTCTGGAGTCAAACTACCTGACTTTAAATCCTTCAGATCTGGGTTTCTCTACTCAGTGAGTAAGTGAATTACTTAGGTTTTTCTGGGTTTTCATCTCATCTGTACTAAAAATAGTACCCTCTTTCAAGTATTGTCTTCCTTCATAGGGTTTATCTGAGGTTATATAATACTTTTAAAATGTTTAGAAGAGTGCCTGATACTTAATATTAGCTGTTAATTATTAATAGTACTTAGTGTTGCGTCAATCTGTCTCTTGCTTTTTAAAGTTCTAGACCTTTTGATGTTAGGATCATCATGAGTACCACCAGGGTACAAATGGCACATTTTGGGAATTACCATCCTGGCAAGAGCCACCTACCCTCAGTGTCTTCCTTGCTACCTCCGTTCCCTCAGTCCAATGTAGCTGCCTTGTGCCTCTGTCAGGCCCCCTAAGAGTCATTCATGGCTTTTTCCATCTCCCTCTTCCTTGATCTCTCCTCAGTGGGTAACGGTCTTAACTTGCAATTAAAACACCTCTCAGATTCACATTCTTCCCTGGTTTTTTCCCTGCCACTCTCTGTGCTCACTTCCTTCATTAACTCCCCTTTCTCTTCTAGCTCCTCAAATGTAGGAAGTCCTCCAGGGTGCCTGCTGGGCTTCTTTGCATCCCACTCCACACAGTCTCCATGAGTTCATTATTCTTCTGTTACCTTTATGTTTGAATAAACATAAACTCCAAAGTCTGGATGTTCATTCCTAACATCTGTCTTGAGTTACAGGTTTTTGTTTTGTTTATTTTGTTTTTCTGGGCAGTTCTAATCTATATTTCTGAAGGCTATCTCAAAGTCAGTATTTCTAAAGCTCAAGTTAGAATTCTCCCCACCACACCTTCTAGTTTCCTGTGCTGGCTGATAACTCCCTACACAGACTGCTAAGCTGTAAACCTCAGAGCCCTCTGGAAATTCCCTCAGATGGATGCTCTACAGTGCCCTTTAGAATTATGCCTTTTCCATTTTCAGCCCCCGTAATCATCCTCAGTGTC